TTTTTACTTTAGTTATTTTCATAATTTTTTGGTTGCCTCCTATGTGTATGTATGATGTAAAGCCAATTTTGTGCTCAGAATTTCATAAAAAGCTAACCATTAATTTTTTTAAGGGAACAACTTGAAACGTATGTAGTGATATTTTAAATTACTACTTCTACAAAAATTGACGTGCATATATGAAATTTGATTTACAAGTACACGTCAAACTATGTATAACAAAAGTTGGGATGGGTTTTGTGATAACATGATTGGTATTTGTACAATACTTCTTTTTTATGAATGCTTATTGAAAATTACTTAAAAAATGTGTAAATGTTAGATTCATTTCTTTTTAAAAAAATAAGTATTGCTTTGATATTGAAAAATGCATACCAACTTTTGTTCCATGTACTATTAGCAAACAAGTGAAAAAAAATTTCCAACTACTAGGTACAATAGAAAAAAAGGCTTAGCGTTTAAAATTAAGACAAACTAGGTATTTTATCGTTCTGAGAGATAAGTGAGTTTAAAGTTTTGATTTGCCGTTGCGATGTGAATAAAAACAAACGTAAGAGTTATCGCAACTCTGCGTTTTTAAACTTAGAGCTTTCAAATTTTGTGAGTTTGTAGAAAAGTATATAAAAATAATTTTGGTTAAAAAAAATTAGTTTTCTTTTTTTTGACCGATTTTTGTCAATTGAATCGTACTGTGTCCCCTTAAGCTAAACGAGCTACAGAAAAAATATTTTTAAGACTGAAGATTCAAATTAAGATGAAAAGAGTAGATGGCTTCTTCCAAAATGAAGAGAAGTATTTTTGGAACTTTAAAAGTAAACAAAAGTATTAAAAAATTAAAGTCTACAAACTTACTGCTTATAATATTAAATATACTTACATTTGTGAATATAAAATACACAACATTGAATGTAAGAAAATTTATAAGAATTTTATAATACACAAACATAACAAACCTGTTTGAGATCAAAGTGAAGTATGTTCGACAAGTACGTAGGTGCTAGAATGAGTAATGTAAAAAATCCCCAAGATTCTCCGGTATGAGCAGCAAGCAATGCCCAGACAGGTATCGATGTCAATATTGATTTCCATGGAGTTGGAATCTTAAAAGGGAAAAATACACAAGTGTGCTTAGTGAATAAAGATCAAATGACAAAAATTAAAATTTCGAATTAAACTACTCACAGAATAAACAAGGCATATAAACTAGTTATGAATAGGTTTCACACATTACCAGGTGAGTAAGAATGATTTTTAACCACGTGTCTGAGTTCTCTCGGGTTCGTACATATTGTAGTTAGTTATTATCTCGAGAAATCTCGGGCGAAAAGCAGAATTTGTCTGTATGATTTGTTTTGTCACGGGTTTGCTCAGCCTGGAGGAAATGAAAGGAGATATTCAGCTTTGATTGGCATTTTGGACAATTTTTATAACTCGCCAGAATTATGTGGCTGATGCGTTAGTCAAAAAGAAGACTGATGTGTATAGAACATTCCGATTGAGTAGAAAAGATTTACCTCGAGATCTAAAGAAAAAGAAATTTAAAAAAAAAAAGAAATTATATTGAGTATCAGAGAGGGAAAGTAACTGAATAAGAAAAAGGAAAAATAAGAAGGATGTTGGTCAAATTTTCCCCAAAAACCCTTTAAAAGCGGGGTGTGACAAAAATGAGGAGGGGCTAAGTCAGGCCTAAATGTGGGTTTCTACAATGACAAAATGGGTGGTGTAGATAAAGTCGAACAGCATTTAGCTGTTTATTCTACACCTAGAGAAAAAAAGGGAAAAATACTACAATGACATTTCTTCCATTTGTTGGATCTGACCTTGTGAAATTCCTACATTTTGTACTGCAAATCAGGAGGTTCACGATCACCTAAACAATTTAGAATAGAACTAATTGAAAACCTTAAGTACCAGAGTAAAATAAAACCTAAAGTACTAAAGTAATCATCTTGACGAGTTTTCTGCCACATCAGAAAAACCCAGCATTAGTCTTTCACCATTCCGGTGAAATCCAAGGCATTTTCCAGACGTTATGAGACGATTCAGAAAAAAGTAAAATTCCTCGAGATCGTGTACTCTGTGCTCCAGCAAAAGAGATTCCAGAGGTAAGCGAGTAAGAAAGGAGAAACCAAATACCAGAGTACATAATCTGGAGTATCACTTTGTATTGTCCCTTGTTTCAAAATACAATCATACAAAGACTAATATTTAAGTTTTTTCCCCATTTGCCCGAAATAACTAGGGATAGTAAACTAATATTAAAACTAAATGCTTTTACACCTTTAAAAAATTAAAAATTCAACTTAAAACCTACATATTTTGTTTCGTTTCATTTTATTTAATAATAAAATGTGATGAGAGAGAGAGAGAGATTTTTTCCAATTTTTTTCAAACTATTTGTAAGGAAAGCGGTTAAGAATCATATATATCATTCAATGAGATATAAAGCTTTGTTAGCAGGTTTGAAGATGGTAGATCGCAAAGGAGATGACTCGATGGTTGCGATTGTGTGACACAGGGAGTGGCATCCAGATTGAGAAATTAATCCCAAGTAAGTGGTATTTTGAACTAGAAGCCCGTGCAATTCTGTCCACAAGAATGAAGACACCTGCACAGAATCCTACTTGGGATTTAAGGCAGAGAACGACTGTAGATCCTTCTCGTGAACTTGCTGTTGCTTCTGAAGCAAACAGTATTCAGACGTCTAGTGCAGAGTACTATTTACTCCCACCGTCCAGTGGTGTATCTCCCTCTGAGAACGCTGTACAGGGAAGCAGCCCATTTTCGAAGAAACAGTCACATCATTCATGGACAAACCTATAATGATGCCCTGTTCTTTTGACTGATGAGTTGAGATTTAACATACAAGAGTGATTCTCTGTGAGTTGGTCCTGAGGAAATGTGTAGCTCGCTGCTTTCTTTCCAACGTAAAGGAAGTCGACTCATTTGGTGGCAGATGAATACTTGCCCCGACCAACATCATGCTACACTTGTTGTAAGTCATTCCATGACTTTGATGCGGGTAGTGTCACCGAACAGCGCTATATGGATATGGTCCTTGAGGCCTTATGTGAGGTTTTTCCAGGATGCTGCTTGTCCGAAATTGCTTTTTTATCCGCGATAACGTGAGATCACACTGAGTTCATATTGCTGATGATTTTCTTGAAAGGGCTATTCGTTTTATGAGATGGTCTGTGTAGTCTCCGGATCTTAGTCCCATAGAACATGTTTAAACTGCTTTAGGAAAAGCCATTTCACTCTCTACGTCGCATCTTTTAGCGGACCATCCGGGCGTTAAAAGTCACGCGTTTGGAAAACCGGGGTTTAATGCCGCAAACATTTCTCAACATCCTCATTAACAGCATGACGGCTTGCTGAGAGGCTTCGATAGCAGGACATGTTGACCACACTGTACATTAGATGAATTTTTCCCGAGAACATAACGCTTCTCGATTTGACTGTTTTTGTAACTATCTGTATTGTAACTAACATTTAACCTCATTTTCTCATGCTGCTACATGCCTTTTTCTACAGTACGTATATTTATAGGTCGAATTTCGTTGCAATAAGCCGTTAGCTATCACTATTACAGACTATAATTTTCGGCTCCAGTGTAGTAAGAATAAATTAATTAAAAAAAATCGTATATTTAAATGCAATTTTTTTCTATAATTTTCCCAATGTGTATGTGTATCAAAAGTTAGCCATTTAATTAGGGAATATAGGGTTTAAGGCTGTTTTTTCTGCAAAAGTACGAGAGCCTGAACTAAACGCGGAGCACATTTTCAGACAGAAAAATGCCTCATTTTTCATGAAAATTTGCAACATTATAACTTATACATCTGTTAACAAGATAGTGTTTCTAAAATTTCAAAATATTCCTTGAATATTATTTTTTTCATTTTAACACGTGAAAGGACTGCTCATTTAACATTACGGTATAGGAGAAAAACGCGAAACACATTTTACGCCAGAAAAAATGGCTCAGCTCGGTCAAAAAAGTGAAGAATGATAAAATATGTTGTTCTCTAAGGGATAGTGAAGCCAGAATATAATATTAATTTTTTATTTCTTTTATATCTGAAAAAATGTACCTAATTCGGGTCCTATTCTTTAACATTAACCGAAGACAGCCTTAAAGTTTTTCTCTATTATTTTTCTTAAAAGCCTATAAATTGCATTTTTATGTCTATGTAATTGTGCAACCATGAAACAGATTCTAAGTTTTACCATAGAATTTAACCTTAACATTCAAAACAAACAATATAGTCTTTGGGTTAGACTTAATTTAAATTTAAATCTAAATGTATTGGTATTCACAATTTAAAATTCTTCGGTACTATAAAAATAATCGTTTCTATCAATTAAAAAAGTTCAAAGTTAATATTTCAGCGTAAGCCAGTTTTCTGACAATTGAATTTTATCTTCAATTTTTGCCAAGATATAGCCAATTACTTACTCTTGACTTCTTTTCACGTCCTTGTCGTATGAGTAATATCTCTTCTTTTGATATTCGTGGATGGGACTCAGGTGTCTCGTGAATTAAAGATACCCATAGTATGAACCACACGCATCCAAGTATACCTTAAAAATAATAGCAAGCGGTTAACAAATTTAATAAAAATTGGGGAAGAAAAATTAATGTCTTTTGTTCAAATCTTTCTTTTTTGATCGAGGATCATATAGTTATACTAAAAATTGAGCTCTACCTAGGAGTAGTAAACAAGTAATATAAAAAAAAAAATTAAATCAATTCCTACTTAGGGTCAACAAAGAATTTTTTTTATTTTAGTTACTTTTTATTAAATAGTTACAATTAATATAAATATGTATATACATATGACAGAATCATAATATTAAATGACAAAATAGAAAGCGATTTTCCTTGCAATTTTCCATTTTCCTTTCTAATATGCGGTGTTGGACTATTTTTTTGTTTGGTATTTATTCATAATATAATTATTCTAATAAAAAATAAATCACATTCTCAGAAATTATGCCATCCCAGGTGGAATTCGAACCCCCGCCTTTTGGATTATAAGTCCATTGCACTATTCATTGTGCTACAGGGATATAACGAACAATTTTCATTTCCATATATACTGTTGGACTGTTATTTTTGTTTCTTACTTTTTATTCATTTTTTAATTTAGTTATGAATTTATATTTAAAAAAAAACTGCATTAACATCAAGCGTCATCCACTACAAGGTTAAAAAAATGTATTTGAACTTGAATGGATGAATAGAAAGTATTTCATGAACGATTAAAAATTTGTGAACAAGATATATATATAGAGAGAGAGAGAGTGAACTATACAATAGTAGGAATTGAAAAAGGCGTTAAAAATCTGTTGAATTAAATTAATTTCACAAAACTATGATATTATAATTTTTCAAAATTAACTTAAATTTTTATGTAAATTATTGAAATTTTTTAAGAAAATTTTATGATTTTAAAAGTGAAAAATAATAAATAATTCATATAATATTTTACAAAGCCAATATTTCGTAAAAATACAATATATTTTTTAATTAAATGTCTCAGACAAAATCAAAGTACTTTTTGAACCCTTTATAAAAATAAATTAATAAAATTAGGAATCCCTCTAATAATTTTTCACGACGTTTCAAAACTTTGACACTTTATATGCATCTCCTATTTTTTTCTTCCTTTAATTTTGTTCTTCCATATTCCGTTTTCCCTGTTCTATCTTTTACAAGGCAGTTCTAACAGCCTTTCTCGTTGTTTTTTTTTAAACTTACGTATTATATTTTTAATGTTTAAGTATTATAGATCTACAATTACATCTCTTAATTTAACAGCAAAATTACACTTTTTCTTAAAACCAATGAACTATAAATTTACGGGTTATTTTCTGCTTGGAATTTTGTGTCTCCTCTCGTTAATGTAAATATTCCAATATATCATCAATTAGTTGTATAGCATATACAGGGTGATTATAATTAAAGTTCTCCTTTCAAAATACTGCAAAAAGAGAGCCTTTTTAAATTTGAGACATTTTAAAGAGTATGGAGTCAATGAATAAGTATGATGCGGGATGCCCAGTTGAAAAGTGGAAAATATAAGAGATTTTCAGAAAAATAAAAAAGGTTGACATATACACTGCACAAAATTTTGGTTGAATATTGAGTCACAAATATTGAAAGTTTGAGAAGCACTGATATAATGAAAAAGGACCGAATGCTTGTAATTCTGTTCTGCTTAGGTCCACAGACCCTCACACATTTTTTGTCTTTATACCGCTTTACACTGAGATTCTTACCAAAAACGTAGAACATTGAAGGCCATCCACCGAGGAAGCCCGAATTACTCAGGATACCGGAAATACCTAACGTAAACACGGTGCCGATATTGCCACCTGTATAAATGAATACAACGATTCGGCTTCTTTCTAGTTTCGGTGCCCATTGTCCAATCAGAGTGTTGATACATGGGTAAGCAACTCCCTACATAAATATAAAAAATGGCATTATGACACAAATCGTTCTTAGGTGAGCAATGACAGAATTCGTCATTACTTTATTCCCGATATATACATGATTTCACAATTTAAGGAATAAACTTAGGTACACTCACTTCCAAAACTTAAGTAGGGAAAGAAAATGTTTATTTCCGTAAGTCAATGAATTAAAGAATCTGAAATTTGCAGCAAAGATAGAAGAAAATATGCAATTATGTTAGGTAACAGCCAATCACGGTTTCGCATCGAGAAAGATGCAAACCAGGCAGTCGTATAAAAATCCGGCATGTTGAGGGTTACAGAAACCCCCGGAAAAGGGTGCCCCAAGAAAGGTGTTTAAAGCATGTGTACGATTTGTTTTCAAGCTAGACGTGTTTCTCTGGCTTCCAGAAGACGAATGGAAAATTGATTGATTAAATTTATTAACGCCCGCACTGTTCAGCTCCCGAGGGTTTTTTGGCGAGGGACCACAAAATTTTTGAACCATGGTCAAGTGACGTGGACGACACCTGAGCTGGGACCCCCCTAACTCCCACACCACACCAACGGGGGGACGAATGGAAGATTCTGAGTTTTGGGGGGCTTGTTTGGGCTCTTTTGGGAAACAGGCCAGTCTAATTTCGAAAGTTTCTCGCTTCTTCGGCTTCCATTCCCCACCCCCGGTTAAGGAAAAACCAAAACCGGGGGGCCAAAAAATTTTTCCAAAAAAGTGACCCCCCCTTTTAAAAGGGTTAGGGGGCATCACGAAAGGGGAGTAAATTGTTTTGTGGGGGAGTTGAAGGGTTTATCATTTTCCCCCTTTTGGCAAAATTTGGGGTTGGCCAAAACCCCCGGGGAAAAGGTGAATAAACCCTTCAATTTTTTCAAGGACTACCCCCAAGATTAGGAAAAAAAAAATTTTTTAAATTTGGGGGGTCTTTATGGTTTTGTTTTTTCCGCCCAAAATTACCGGGTTTCCCAAAAAATTCCAAGAGGCACCTTAATTTAAAAGTTTTTGGTTTTTTTTCCCTTGGGCCCAAAATGGTCTGGGGGTTTGGGGCAACTTTTTGGTTCGTTGGGTTTTTAAAGGGATTTAAAAGGGGATCCCCATAGGGGCCAACCCGCCCGTCGACGACTTTCTGGAAAGTGAGGGGATTGTGTGTATGAAGTAGCCGGCTTACTCGCCGGTTCTTAATCCAATTGAAAATCTTTGGGATGTCCACAGCCATGCTGTATGTTGGCTTTTCACACCTCCATCCACTCTCAGAGATTTAGAAACTGCTCTACAGGAGGAATGGCGATTATAGAACTCTGTGGAGGTTGATCACCTCGTTACTAACATAATAACACGCTGTACACGGGGAAAGTTCATACCTATTAGGAGGCCTATTGTTGTTCGTTTTTGTTGTTTGTTTTGCATTTAAATGTTCTTTTGTCAATGATGCAATTATGACGCCATTTTATAATTTGTGAAAATTCAATTTTTTTTTTACTTCTATCTGTAATTTTGGTTCATTCCATGAATAAACAAAAAACTACTTACTTGCAGCATTTCAGGTCAATCAAAGCAGTACTTTCCTTTTTTACATTTTACCACCCAAATTAATTTTTTGGGTGAGTGTAAAAAGAGCGATTTCATTAAATGGCAAGCAAGAATCTAGATATTACATAAGGCAAATGAAATATAACTATTTTTGCTAAAAATCCTGAAATTTTTATGCTTAAGTATTTTTAGTAATAAATATTTCATATACTGTCTGCATAGGACATGCTAATTTAGAGTTTGATTTAGATGTAATATGATATATATCACTTCCCCTTCGTATTATACAATTAAAATGATTGAATTGTAAACCAAAGTGCAAAAACGAAATATTTAAATTGTAAATTAAGCTATATAATTCAATAAAATTATTTGAAAGCACTATTTATACTAAAAAAAAATTACAGTAATTTATAGCAGTAAAGAAAATTGTTATCCCTATTAATTTATCTAGTTTTTCTTAAGTGTACAAAATAATACGCCTAATTTAAACACAATCCCAGAAAAAAAGGCTTACTTCACCCAGACCTTCTATCACACGAACAAAAATCAGTGCCCAGACGCTCCATCTGGCGGCAAGAGGCGTCAACAGCGTGAAAATAGATGTTACCAGCATTCCGAAAGCGAACAGCCATTTAGCGCCGTACTTTTCAGCAAGGATTCCTCCAGGTATTTGAGTAATGATGTAAATAGGCCCATGCACCAGCCCTGAGTTAATCATTTTAAATTGCCTTTTAGCTTAAAAATAAAGGTCGTTTAATCTTTTTTTTTAAGATTATGATATGATAGAAGTAAATGTTACCTAAGGGTTTTTTACAACTGACTTCATGTAAATAACTTATTTCTGATGAGTTTCCTTGTTCAAATTCTTCTATCAGTTCTGGACAAGCCACTGTTTCCCTTGGAACAGATCCACTTAAATGACTCGATTGTTTCACCATTGCAATTATCGCAACATTAAGGTTAACACGCATTGCGAGGAGATTGAAGAAACCAAAGAAACCCAAGAGGGCGAAGACATAACGAGCTGGGAATCCTGTAAAAGTAAAAATTTAAAACTGAAAAATGCATAGACAAATACTTCTGGAAAATGTTTCACAAAACTGTAAATATGGTATATACGTTATACAGTGGCGCACACAAAGGGGGGGGGCTGGACCCCCCCCAAAAGCCCTTGATTTTTTTCCGATTGGTTATAATTCTAAGTATAATACGTAAAATTTAATTAATTATTTGTTATTAATGATTAATTTTATTAATTAATGCTAATTATTATTCAATAATTAGTTTTTTAATGTGTTTTGTTACTGAAAATCGACAAAATCAAAAATAGCTTGATACAAGAATGGTGAACTTTCAACCCCGGACCCCCCCTTGAAAAATTTCTGTGTGCGCTACTGACGTTATACGATCCAAAAATTCTGCGACTGTGGCCGTTCATGATGACGAGTGAGTGACTGAACATTAACATCGCACTGTTCAGCTACACGAGGGCCTTTTGGTAACGGACCACGTAATTTTGAACCATGGTCAAGTGACGTGGATGACATCAGAGCTGGCACCCTCCTCTCCTAACTACCACACCAAACCAACGGGAGACATTCGAGCTCTTTACAGATTTAACGTGCATCGCTTCCCTACACGGCGGATCTTTAGTGGGGTTGGGCTCGAACTCGTGACAAGGCCAGCCACGATCCGATACCTTGACCACTCGGCTACCGCGGCCTTGATAATGACGAAAGCAAGTATTTAAATTTAAACTACTTGAAATTGATTCTTCCAACCCTCTCCTACCTGGCAAAGTTGGCTCAGTCCATGTCATGTGATTGAACTGCAAGCACAGCAAGTTATCCTCTGAAGCTAGTTAACTTTGCTCCCAGGCCTAAGAAAGATGACTTTATTTAACAGCGTTGAACATTAAATTCTGTCAATGCTTAGGTAAAACAGCAATTGAGACTTTGAAAATGCTAAGTAAGGTGTATGGTGAATCTACCATGGCGAGATCTTAGGTTTACGAATAGCATCGGCGCTTTAAAGTGGGCCGAGAATCCATCGAAGACAATGAACT